ATTGTTGTTGGGTATTAGAAAACGCATACGTAATATTCTGCTTATGTTTAACCGGGCATCAATACGCTGTACACTAAGTGCGTGTATGTGTGTCTCTGTGTGCCCGTTTAACTCAGAAAACTGTGAAACTTTAGTTAGCTATCTTTTTATTTTTTATTTTTTTTTTGTTTGCTATTTATTCATTCAGCGATCTATATATTCTTAGTTTCTTGCAACTTCAAACGGGGAAAAAAAAATTTATTTTTTTTCGCGTTTGTTTTTATTTGTTTGTTCACTAATTTGTCCTTATAACAACGGTTTAAGCTTGGGAAATTTCAGCAAAACAAAAAATACTGCTCTGAAACAAAAAAAATTTTCCTTCGCATGCCTCTTGTACTTCTTATTTTATATACATATGTATATATTTATTTTTTTTTTTCTTATAATTTGTTGTCCCACATAGATTTATTTTTGCAAGTCACCTTTCTCCTTTCTTTAAAAAAAAAAATTTTTTTTATTGCTTCATATAGTCCGCTATATACGCTTACTTTCCATGTTTTGGTTCACACAATATGATAATATTATTTCACCGAATACACTCAATTAGAAGTGTCGTTATAAAATTACTATCATTATATAGGTTTTTGTAAAAATGTGGAGTAGGATTGTTGCTGTATTTTCTATCGTGGATATGGTGTCAATTTTGAATTATATTAAGTGCCTTACATTTTTTAGTTGTAAGCTTGAAATTTCGTTTTTTTTTTTCTTCCCCAATTCAAATTGTATTTACTTCCCATTCTTACTTCGTCATTAAAATAATCTGTAGGATGAAGATAAAAAAAATTTACATTTGAAAAACAAAACCTTTGCTTGCAGAAACACTTCTTCTTGAAGAACTCTCAGGGCACTGGTTTTCATAGCATCAAAAGTTTCAGTTGTTTCAGCGATTTAGTACACTATTGTCCATGATGAAAAGTCACTTATTTGGAACATTCAGATTTGCATCCACTAATACATTTTTTTGGTTCTAAGTGTCCGACTTCTCACACTGCAAATTCAAAAAAAAAAAAGTTTCATTTCATTAAGAGTAAAATTGACGACTCATCTATGAATTGTCTCCCTGATTTCTGGAAGAAGAAGGTACATTCTGAATGAAAGCGAAAATTTAGGTTCAGTTTTTGATCATAAATTGTTTTGTATTTTAAAATAAGTAAAGATATTACTTCTTTTAAGTCGGCTATTTGAGAAATATAAAGACTGCTTGATGGGGCGAAAAGAAGAAAGAAGTATACTATGAACTTTATTGTATAATATATAATATTGTAATATGATATATATATATATATTATATATTGCATATTAGGTGAATACTATGAAATTTATGGTATGCGCCATAGCTGTTGTCAGAGAAAACGGTGCTAGTGATACTGCTACCGTTGAAGATTAGCCCTATTTTCTGTTATTTGCGTGAAGAAAAATTAGCAGTACACCAGATAATTGTAAATCGTATAACGATGACGTTCACCTACGTGTTGAATAGTGAATAAAAGATAAAAAAAACTAATCTGGATATACTTGGAACATTCAAATAAAAAAGTCGACATTGTCGCATAGCAGTGGTTAAAATGCGAAATGAGCAGTAGTTCGAGCAACAAACTTTCAATTTTTTCTGCTTTATGTGTTCGTCCTTTACAATAGAGAGGTACCGCTAATGAACAAATGGATATTGTCGTTATGGATTTCTGCCAAATCAGTGTCTTTTAGAGGATGAAAATGAATATACATGTATACAAATGTATAAATACAAAACTGATTAAGTTTCTATCTACATATAGATGTATAAATAAGTATATATGTTATAGATTTAAGTGTAAATATCAGTATAAATATAAATATAAGTACAGATTTAAATATAAATATAAATAATAAACATAAATATAAGCGTAAATATATGTATGTATGTAAAATGCTTTTCGTTTTTGTTTTGTTTAAGTTGGAAGTGTGAAAGTTGCTAAATTTTGGGTCTAAATGGTCACATATTAAGAGACAGTGAGCAGCGATGGTGTCATTTAAGACTTTAAGTCGTCGCTGCTTCCTACCGTTTCTGTTTCTTTTGGAAGAGGACAGAAGGGTGGCAGAAG